GGGCGGCTGGGGCCCCAGCGCCACCCGCGTGCCGTCTGCCTGTGGGGCTCGCCCTCACTCGCACCCCGGCTCTCCATAAAAATACATACGCAGAAGAAGAAGAGCTGTGGGGGTGAGGAGGAGGAAATGGAGCAGCTCCCCGACTGCCGTGGGGTCACCACTGACAGCCTGCTAATGCAGTAGTACAGGCCTACCTTTAAAAAAGGAGATCAAGTGCGCTGCAGAAAGGGTTACGGTAAAGGCAACCACAATAACAAAAACAGGTGGGTTGATGGCAGCAGCAGCCAAATCCCCCCGTCTGTGCTACATGCAGGGGACCCGTTCAAAACAGGAAGATGAAACACGAGACAGGAGTCAGGGTGCACCCGCAAACACAGACGACTGGCAGCAGGCGTAGCTCCTGGTCGGGGAAAGGTGGGTGTCCGGCCCAAAGCGCCACATGAAACCATCAAGTCCCTTCACCATGCCAACGGCTATAATAATTCCCAGCGAAGAAATAAGAGTTAAGAACACCCGTGAGGCAAAGAAACTTGCCAGTCGTCGTTACAAAACAGCTAATACTTAAATACTCATTACTGATTGTCGTTATTAAATAAAAACAATCGCAATTCTGCTCTCAATCTAAGATCAAGTAGACAAAAAGCAAAGAAATATCAGATCTAAACAACGTAATTCATAACAACTACACTGGACCACTGGACCGCAGTAACAAAGAACGCACCTTTCTTGCAAGTACTGACAGGACAGTCACAGAAATTGAAAAGACAGTCCAGTTACAAAGAAACCTCAATCAGCTCTATAAGGTAAAGGAAATCAAACAACTTACTTTGATCACAGTGACATAAGAGATCAATGACAATATTTAAAAAACAAAATAGAAAGGCTCTAGGCAATCAGAAAAAATGGGAGAAAGCACAAAAAAGAATAAAAGGGGGAAAAAACATTGGTACAGAGTAACTTTAAAGAAAAAACTCAAGGGACTATTTCAGACAACTTTATACATAAGAAACTGACAACACAATGCAGCATATCAAAATCAATACTAGCAGAGACAAAGCTTGAACAGACCAGTTTACAGAGAAAACTGTTGAAAAGCTACCCCACAAAAAAGCAACCAGCACTAGCTGGAAAAATAAACTATCTGTTCCTATGGGTGATAAAGTATTTACCTGGAAAACCCAAAAGAATCATGATAAAATAAAAGCAGATCATAGAAGAATTCAATAAGATCACAGAATATATGATTACATCACTAGACTTTAATTATACAAACAATAACCAGTTAGGAAATATCATGGAACAGAAAATATCTTACATAGCAATGGAATAGCAACAAATGAAAAAACATGTTGGAATAAATGCAACAAAGAAATGTGCAAAACTTATCTGAAGAAAACCCTAAAACACTTCTGAAGAACATAAGATCACACTTGAACTACTAGAGACACATCATTTTTCTGGGACAGACTGACTCAGCTTCATAAAGATGTCCAATTCTGCACGGGAACATTTCAGTGGAGCATGATCCCAGTGAAAATGCCACTGCCTTTTCTGGAGACAGAAAAGCAGATTCTAAAGTCCATATGGGAAAATGAATGTACGAGAATGGCTGGGGAGGCCCTGGAAACGAGGGGTCATGAGGACAGAAGGACCAGGTCGACTAGAGCTCAACACCGCCATCCAGTTTCAGGACTTTCCACCATTCCCCAGCGTTCCTTCCTACCCCTTTATCCCAGCCCATCCCATCTCCATCTCCAGCGGCCACTGATCTGCTTCCCGACACTGGAGATTCATTTTGTCTGCACTAGAGCCTCACACAGATGGAGTTTGTCCCTTTTCCTTGCTGAGAGGTATTCCACCGTATGGACACACCATTAAAATAAAAATCAGTTTGCCTACGGA